AACAAGCCCTGGCGCGTTTTTCAAAATCTTGGTGCTCGTAGCCGTTGTGTTTTTTTTCTCAAAATCGTTTGTGAGTCCTTTTATTTTCTGCCCTCATTTGCATGTTGAGTTACGAAATTGATAATCTCAGAGTACCCATAAGCTGCCTACCTTTTAGTACATAACACTCAGTTTATTTACATAACTACCCGTCCTCTTTATACATATCCATATATCCACATATGTGAAGTGGAAGCAACGAAGACAAGAGTGACCGGAATGACCCTTTCTGGCTTGTTATCCGTCATCACGAGCGCTGCACTCAACGACTAAATGTTTCGGTTTAGAATCTTGGGATCATCGTCCGTGAGGTTGGGTATGGCGGGCCGATTCCGGATAATAAGCCAGAAATGGCTATTCCGTTTTCCCTTGTCCTTCTCGGTAATGCATTTCTGTATATTTGTGTATGTCAAAGGGTACACATCCCAAGAAATATAACTCAAAATTAAATACTTTCTTCGGAAATATAAAAATATTGTTGCGTTGATTTTCGAGACCGTGGCCCCAGTTTTTAGCCAGACATATATTAAAGTGAAAGTGCTAAAATAACTAACAGCTTGTGTGCTCACACAAAGAGATCAGCGGATAGCCATGCTATGGGAGCGGAGGTTATACAGCATTTTGTTGTGAATGGCGGTGAGGAGGCCAGGTGTTCGGTGTCCATTGTGTGACTTACTGCGCCAGTAGGCTGTTGCCGTGTCTCCCTCCGGATTTGTTCGTATCTCGCCCATCTGTGCTTGAAACCGTTTTACGAACAATTCAACTCTACATGCCTTTTGATGCATGACGTGTCCGGATGCATTGCCTCGAGGAATTCGTGGCCTTTCTTGAAATGGCAGGTAGCAACAATACGAGTTTTGCCCCACGAGAAGTTATGCCCGATGTCCAGGAATGTATGATCACTTGGGGGAGGTGATCTCTTTTTATCGCCAATTGGTGTTCATGAATGCATACAGAGGCGGATTTTCCCTATTAGCCG